CATAAGCAGAGTTGCACATTTGGGACTGTTATATATTTGGTAGCATATTAAAGTGCATATAGTAGCATGTGAATGTGCATTACCTCTATGCATTGTCTGTATGCATTGCACATCACAAGTGCTCAATGGATCAGTCATGTGCCTTGACCATTTATTAGTATAGGTTGCATTATACTGGTATTCAGTATAAAAGGTGAGGCAATGGCAAACCTCTTCTGAACACATCTTGCCAAGAAAAACTGAGGATCAGTTCGTCTTAGGGTTGCCATGAATCGGAAATTACTTGAAGGTATGCAACACACTAATACACACACAATGTATCTCAACTAGTGAATATTTACATAAAGCTGAAGTTATGTAGGATCTTGGCCAGTGAACTGAAAGCATTTTGAAAGCACATCAAGAAAAACAGTACAGTCCCCACACATTTTTTTAAATAATAATCCTTTCTCAACAACCAAAATTTACCAAAATCACAGCCTGCATAAAAGATTCTCACCCTATCAATGGAAAGGTGACATGGAGGCAGCCAACCTAGCTTCTCTTTGGAAGGGAATTTTAGAGGCTGGGAGCCATTACTAAGAAAACCATCTCTAATCTCTCAACCAAATATACTAGCAGCAGCAAGAGAAATCTTCTCTGAAGATCTCAACACCCAGGAAGGGTCATACAGGAGGATACAATCCATCAATGGATCCTGGCAAGAGCATTCGTCTTCATGGATACTTAATTTAACTTTATGTTCAATTGTGAAATGGCTTTAACTAAATTACATAAGACCTGTGTAGGCTGTTTCTCACCTTAACATTCCACCCATTTCTTCAAGAACAAAGTGTCAGTGGAAAGTACATTTCAAAAGTGACCTATGTGCTTGAATACAAAATAAGAAACATCCCTGACTGGCTGTACACCTAGACATTACTCCTCCTCCTCTCCCAAATCAAAGGTCATGGTCAAAAACCTTGCTCCTCTTTTTCTTTGCCCCATGGCTTAATGAGAATACCACAAAGGAAACTTCTAATCTAAACAGTCAATTCAATTAAAACCCTCTTTCCTTGATAAATGTACATGTGATTAGTACTCATTGAGATAGCTGTCCTTCAGGCTGTGTTCAAAGAAAAGACACATTGTCTGGTTATTGATGGGGAGGACATACAGTCTGGCTAATTTATGTATTTTTCTTATTTGGCAAAGAGATCTGAAAAGGGGAGTGAGAAGGAAGAATAATTGTAGGAAACAAAATTACAAATCTGGGAAGCAGATCTACAGGGTTGTACTCAACATAGGGTTGATGGCACACTTTCATCATTTCACCCTAGGATGGGCAATGGCAGGCATTGGGGACCATACCTACCCATCATGATCCCATACTGATTTTTTTTAATTTATGGAAAAATATTAAACTCAAAATATTATACCATTCCCTCTTGGGTGTGTAGTGACTTTGCCATGTTTATAGCTGCCCCCAGGCTGTATGAGGCTCACTGTCATGTCCATAGAACTTCAGTTATAGATAATCAGAAGTTTATGGACCTGCCAGAATAAAGAATAGAAGGAAGATGAGAAATCAATATAGTTGTGTTGCATATAGATAAGCAAAGGGAACTCAAAAGGGAATAACATCCAAATGATCAGATTTGGATGAGAAGGGATGTTATTTATGATGCTGTTTACTGCATTCCTTCCTGGGATAGATGTAGGAAATAGCAGGGCTGGGGAACCACAGACATCTTAAAGGATCTTTTGAAGTGGACTAAAGTGCCCAGATGGTGAGGGGGAGAAAGGGGTGTTGGACGGGTTGGATTTGAAAGGGTGAATTGTTTGGAGAAAATTTAGATTCGGCATCAACTGGTCTGTGTGCTAAACCTCTGTATTGTAATCTGAAATAAATCATCAGTTAACTATCACTGCAATATTTTCTTGGTTTTTCTGGTTATGGGCCAGTAATCCTGACACTCATAAAGAGATTTTAAAAAAAGAAACCCTACAAATTAAACCAGAAGTCAATTTCCTGAAGGAAGAGATACTTTTTATCTTGCCCCTACCCTTAATAAACAACAACAACAACACATTCTGGGTGATTTGTAAATCCCGACTGCCTCAAAAATGGCCGTAGAGTAATTTTTAAAATTATTATTATTATTATTATTATTATTATTATTAATTTATACCCCACCCACTGTTAAAAACAATCGGGGCAGCTTACAGCAGATAAAAATTACATCAATACAGTCTAAAAACCCCAAACCCCCACCCTCCCCCATAAAAACGTATTAAACTAAATGTCCATTAAAATCCAGCTAAATCTTAAAATAGCATAGAATGAACAATAAAAAGAATCAAACAGCAGGCAAATTAGAAACACAAAAGGGCAAGGGCATAGCTCCTGAGACCAAGATCTAATCAGGCAAAAACAAACAAACAAACAAACAAACAAAAACAGGACTTTTTGCTCTTGCAAGGAATACTCAGAGGTAGTTTTGCCAATTCCTTCCTCTGAAATACAGCCTACAGCACCTTGCATTCATTGGGTTCTCCCATCTTAGTTCCTTGCTTAGCTTCTAAGATCAGCTGGGATCTGGTGCTATGATGCCATGATATTTTGGGACCCTTTATTTTCTCAAGCGTGAGGAAAATGTGTGAATATTTTTTATCCTTCTAGTTCCATAGTCCCAGGAAATACTTAAATACTGTTATAGGTACTTTGAAGAAAAAGCATGCTTTCCCACTTCTCATTAGAAACCAGAACAGGTACCTTTTTGGTTGCTTTAAAAAAAATTAGACCCCTGAATGCTACAGGCTATGGACCTGTGATAGAAAACATGGCAAAGTAAAGGTAAAGGTATTCTCCATTGACAAGGTTCTCAAGTCGTGTCTGGCCATAGGAGGTGGTGCTCATGTCCATTACTAAGCCAAAAAGCCAGCGTGATTGCACCAAACACTGTTTACCTTCCTATCGAAGTGGTACCTATTTATCTACTTGCATTTGCATGCTTTCAAACTGCTAGGTTGGCAGAAGCTGGGACTAATGACAGGAGCTCACCTCATCATGCAGCGCCCGGGTCTTGAATTGCCAGCCTGCCGATCATGCAATCAACAGTCTTAACCACTTGAGCCACTGCATGATTGAACCACATGATTTCCTCCTATTTACCTCATTGTTACATTAATGCCCACAACAGAGCACAAGGAAGACCCAGTATTTGAACAATAACCTATTCCTCTCCCCTATTTATGAAGGTAACTAGAAGTTACAATTACAACAAAATGTAACAATATCACTCATAACATTGCCATTATAATTAACTTATACCTTCAGTATTGAAAAATGTTCATTCCTAGAAACTAGTTATCCATAACTACTTATGTCTGTGATCTGTGACCACTTTATCTTTTCTGGCCTACTGTATTTGACCAGTTTCTTTGCTTGTTCTGCATTGCCTGGTCTCCCTTACCTTCCTCATTTGGCTAGATCTGAGTGGATAGAACACAGGGTAAATCACAATCAATGCCCTCCTATGTGCTCCAGCTTCAGGATATGCTGTGATTTCAAGTCCTGGTCTCACAAGTCACTGCTATGGAAGTCCTACAAACCAAGCACTTGTAGGCTTCTGGTCTTTATATTTCATAAAAAGGAAGCATTTCATTCACAGGCTCACATATGAAAAGCATTGTTTTTCCATACCTGTTGGAAGACAATCAATGGCTGTCAGCTGAATTGTCATCTTTCAGAAAGACAAACATTGTAACTCAGCCAGACATTCTTAGAAGGCTTGACCCCATTCATCACACTCTCCTTATTATGGCAGACCAGTAGTTCCACTCATGAGTTGATGAATACAAATCAGCTTATAGTGTGAAAACATTCTCCTTGGAAAATCTTTGGAGGTAAAGCAAAACCAAAGCAAACCTTATAACTCAATTATTCTGTGTTTAACAGTGCTGCTCCATTTTTGTAATAGGTATACCTTTAGAAGAGACTGCTCTGCAATCCTTAATTGAGAAGCCATTAGATATTCCAGCACACCTCTTGCTATGCTGCAGAATCCTTCAGAAAGACCATGCACTGAATGATTTGGTCACACCAGCATGTTTCATGAAATCTTTCTCTTTCATTCTCCCCATGGTGTTTGTTTTCCACAGTGTGACTGAATGTAAGTTTGTGGGAAAGACAGAATAAGAGCATGAGTAGATAGAAATGGTCAGAATCCTACTGGTATCACACACCTGTGTAAATTCTCTTATTATGTAGTTGCACTTTTTGGACCATTGTACAATGGACATTTAGTTCCCTGTTGCTAAATGGAGCTCCACAGGTGTAACTGGTAACCTATAAAGCCTTACACAGTTTAAGTTCAGGCTATCTGACTGACTGTGGCTGCATCCACATGGCATAAATAATCTCGTTTGACACTGCTTTAACTGTCATGGCTCAATGCTAGGAAATTCTGGGATTTGTAATTTTGTGAGATATTTAGCATTTTCTGTTGGAGAGCTCTGGTGCCACAGCAAATTACAAATCCTAGGATTTCCACAGGATGGAGCCATGACTGTGAAAGGGATTCCAAACTGTGTTAATTCTGCAATGTGGCAACATTAAGCCACATTGCAGTTAAAGCGATGTCAAACTTCTGCCATGTGGATGCAGCCTGTATGTCCCCCTATCAGGCTGCCTGAACCCTGAGATCCACAGATGCCCTACTTTCAGTTCCACCACCTTCACAGGTATGGGTGGTGGGAACATGAAAAAGGGCCTTCTCAGTGGCCATTCTACACATTGGAACTCCCTCCCTGGAGAGGCTAGAATGGCATCCTTCTTACTGTCTTTCCATCAACAGGCAAATACTTTTTTATTACATTATTCAAGCAAGCTTTTAGAACGGACGGCTTTTAAGGAAAGGGCTGTAAGAGGCTATATGAGAAGTATTGTGTTTAATAGAACTGTTTAACCTTTTTAACATTTTAAAAAGTGTTTGATTTTTAAAAATTGTATGATTTAGAGCTAGTGTGGTGAAGTGGTTTGCACACTGGACTATGACTCTGGCAATTAGGGTTCAATTCCCCACTTGGCCATGGAAAGCCAATGGGTAACCTTGGGTGAGTCACACAATCTCAACCCTAGAAAATCCTGTGATAAAATTGCCTTAGGGTCACCATAAGCTGGAAACAACTTGAAGGCACCCTCCACCACCAAATGTACATCCATGTAGAGGTGTGCAACTCTGCTTCTGCATTATTAAAGTGAAGGTAGCAGTTCCACAAAAGACTGAAAAGAATACTCTTAACTAGTGAAAAATGGCCCAAAACATTTCTATTTGAATATTGAGAAATCCTGATGAAAAGAAACCTGGACTGGGGAGAACCTTCTCAGTTCAAAACATATTATTTGAAAAAAATTGGTATGTACTAGTTTTGCACAGAAAACAGCATTTTCAGCATGAAAAAATAATAACCAATAAAGACTTTTTCACATCAGGAAGAAAATGGCTAAAATTACTTGTTGTTTTCTTCAAGAAAAAAGTTAGTGAAGAATTACATCCCTATTTCCATGTCAGACAGAAATGTCTAACTACTTTTGTAGGGGGAATTTATGCACGCATAAGGCATTGGTTCCAGCTATTCTCTTTTTATAAATGTGCCTTAGTCTTTGTTTGGTTAATTTTCAACAAATAAAGTAAAACACTAGTATCATAGCCAAGTCTAGAAGAGAAGAGGTGAGGAAGGGGAGGAAAGAGAGCGAGTGAGCAAGAGAGTTCCTCTTTATGCACAGTCAAGTAAATACACAAGTCCTGAAAACAAGCAATCTTCATTGAATGACTTTTTGCAGCTGCATTTTTGCTGTAACATTTTGTATTCCATAAGCATCTTTGAATCTTTTGTCAGCCAGAAAAATACAGCTTAAAAGCCTTTCTCTTAATGATCTCAACCCTCATTCAGGGGGATCATCTTCAACATAAATGAGACTGTCTTCACATAAGGTAATAAAAATTTGTTTAAAAAACAACTCTAATAACAAAATAATACCAAAGATTAACTGTAATGTTCTGTTAGCAAATAAACTTTCATCCCAGTATGCCTAATGCCATCTAATGCAATATAAGTCCTATTCAGTTGTTTGGTAAGCATGTGCACTTCACATGTAAATGTGATCCATCTTTCTCCCCTCCATCATTCCTTTCCAGAAACAAAAGTGACAATGTCTGAAGGGAAGAGCCTATTGTATCTGGGAAGGCTTTCCATATGAGTCACAAACTGTAGAAAAGAAGGGCTCCAGCTGCCATAGTAAGTCTCCAAGAATATAAGTGACTGTCCTGTTCAGACATGACATCTTGAATATACAGAACTAGAAGTATAGCCATATTGGGGCCATTTTCCTATGTGATGCAGAAGTGCACTAACTGGTAATTGTGCCATCTGTGAATATCATTAATTTGTAAGAAAGAAGCCAAAGATACATTGTAGTCAATATAACTGTTAGCTTTGCGACTTCTGGAAAGGGGTACACACAACAAGACCTCAAAGGACACAACATCATTCACAGATGCCACAGCTGATAAGCATACAACCAGAAATGGCACGTTTCACATCTAAGATGGCAGATATATCTCACTAGACATAAGCCAAATATTCTAGTGCAAACTTTTGGAGTGGTTTTAGAGGCTACAAATAGCTTCACAAAGGATCGCCATCTTTTTGTGCCATTTTGTGTTTCATTTTCTCATTGCTTGTTTGTGCACTCAATATACCTGTTCAAAAGAGTTTTTCATGATGCAATAAAGGTATGAGGCCAAAATGTGTGTCCCTCACTTTAAGCAAACATTAGACATAATCATGAAGCCAAATTTGCTTAGTTATATGCCTTTATCATGAAGCCAAATTACACTGATGGCAAACTGGTTTGCCCTCATTCTGAATTGGCTTTGAGATATCATCATGTAGCCAAATCTGATTGGTTACACAATTACGTCATCCTTGTCCTCATTCTAGTATTATGTGACATGAGAAGTAGGGTAGAGAAATTGTGGGGAGCACAAGGGAATATTGTTAATGACATTTTAATGGTCCAGGAAGACTTAGGGAGATAATGTATATGACATACAGTAAATACCATGCTGAAATAATCACAATAAATTTGTTTTATGATGGTCAAAACATTTGTTGTAATTTCTATAATATAATTTATATCCAAGTATTACATTCCCCTCCCCGCCCCCCCCCCCCCCGCACGCATAAACAGATTATTTTAATGCTCACAACTACTTAGAAATGGTTAATGGCTATGGGGAATAATGTATTCCTGCTAACCCTTTAATGCTCACAACCATTTAGAAACAGTTTATGGTTATGAAGGATAATGAAACCCTGTCAGGTATCCCAATCCCAGATCTTTTTTTACAAATGAGGATAATATAATGTTTTAACTATAAGGAAGTGCAAAGAAGAAATCCTTTCTTCCTCACAAACTACCATCATTCTAGGTCTCTGCATAACTAGTGAGAACTGCTGATCTTCTAGTACAACTCAACAGACTGATTATTAGAATCCACAGCATTACTGGAGAAGATGCGTAGCAGAAAACTAGAATAAGCAGCTTTGAAAAGTTCAGGTTGATTTAAAAATGGTTAAGAGGCACATGCAGATGGAGATGTTGAAGAAAGCAATTCAAGAAAGAGAAAATAATGACTTTCCATTTACCTCTTCAAGTGAAACAATAAAGATTTTTCTTTAAGAGTTACTCTGGCATTATAGTTGCCAAAATACCCACTCTTTAAGAGTTTTAAAGTTTCTATTCAGCTTTTTTTATTACACTTTAGCCAGAAGCTATGAAGTTCCTCCTTCCTTTTATATGGAGGAAGAAAAAATAAGGTTCTTTTGAGATGAAACTGTAAGTAGGGAGTCACTAATTGCTCATTTAAGCTAGGAGCAGAGTCACCAAGTTTTCATTGTTCATTTGAAACCAAAGAAAGTTAAAAGACAAAATGTTAGACACTGAAGAGGGCCTGGGAAAGTATAATAGGACCACAGAGCTTAAAATAAGGTATGCAAATTTAATTCATCTCTTTTTTATTTTCTGATCCTCCTGAAAATGGAAGAGGGCTCCATAAAGCCTGGAGGAATGGATGGATGTGGAATGTGGAAAAACTGAGGCAGGAACAGATGAGAAGATTCAAAGGTTGATGAATCCTTGCCCATCCGTTGGACTAAAATGATCATAATATCTTACCAATTCTCTCCGAGGAGTTTGCCCCAGCCCTGCTCTTCAAAGGTAAAGACATTTTTCTTTGAAAAGGCATTTGATGAATAATTTTGTGAATCTGGCTATGCAGTAAGGTCTTTGAAAAGGGTGTCTGTAGTATACTTTTATTGTCATTGTTATTTTTTTTTCAAAATGATTTTATATTGTTTTAAGGAACTGGTTTCTTAATATGGGGGTTTATCTGTTTTAACCTTTTGATCATTGGTTGTTTCTGATTACTTTGTTTCCACATGTTGGCCTCATGTTGGGTAAAAATTGGAGTATATATACTGCGTAACCTTGAGTGATTCACATACTTTCAGTGCCAGAAAACCTAGTGATAGGTTTGCCTTAGGACCTTGGAAATGACTGGAAGGCACACAACAACAAATGTATGTATTGTCTCCAAGGCTATGTTAGGTGGAGCTGATGGGAACCAAAAGCCAAAACACCCAGAATACCAAATATTCTCTGTTTATGAGATAGAGGATAGATTCAGAAGTGTCCATCAACAAGCAGTGATCATAGGGGAAATGTATAAACTTGTAACACAATCCCATCCCTTTTAACACTAAATACAATCCCATTCTCACAATTCCAAACATTAATAGTCATACGTGACAAACAAAATAAGCTAGGTGGCTTAATTGTTCTTGCCTGACAGTAGAACTCCTTGAGACTTATAGTTCCCTTAAACTTCTTTCTGTTATTAGCGATGTGGGGGAGGGAAGGAATATGTTGAGTAATGCATATTTAATGGAAAATTCAAGTTGTTTATTATAAACTTCATATAATAAAATACAATCATTTCTAGCTACTCATAAGTACACATAATCAGACAAAGAAGCATAAAGAGAGAGAGAGAGAGAGAGAGATTGGGGGGAAGAAGGTATGGAAGAATTTGAGGCCTATAAATCCTATGAATGGGGCTGGTTTCCACTGTTCTTGAGATCAATGTCCTTAATCATTACACTTTTTACAGGCTATCCCTCCCTCCTGCCCATGCACAGAACACCTTGCTCTAATCTTGCTTTTAAATTGTTTCCAGTAAATCCCACAAGATCTGGACAACAGATACAGGTAGATATAAAGAAATAAAATGTGCACATATCTTCAAACAAGAGCCACATGCTAATCAGGGTTGTAATCTTTGCGGACCCCCCTTTCTCCCTGGATCACCATTTTTTAATAAAGTATACCTTTTCATCCCAATATTGGATACTGTAAGCAAGCCACTAAGTTTATTCCTCTAGTAGAACAGCATATGTGCATTCTACCAATGAGTGCACCAGTTAATGTTCAGTGCAAGGGTATCATTCTTAACAACTGCTCATAGGGCACTGTGAGATGGATGGCAGTCTCACTCCCCCAGCTGCAGTCCAGTGTCAGTCACCCCTCCGTTTTTGCGGGGGATCCATTCCGTAACTCCCCCTCCCGAAAATGGAAAATCACCAATATTCAACCCCCACTCACTTGAATGGTAGTGCGCCCTTGTGCGCACCTGTGGGTGTAACCCCATTTCGTCCATTGTGTCACTCCCCACCTGTGAACAGGTGAGACCATGGACTCCAAGTCTGCAAAATGGAGGGATGCTTGTATTGCAATATAAAAGCGCTCCTCCAACTTATGTGCCCCATCAAAATGATAGATATTTTGTAAGCGCTGTAGAAAAAAATGCATCTATTTTAAGTATACAGTGACAGATGTCCTGATAATGATCATTCCATTGGTTTCATAAATAGAGCATGCCATAAAAAACAAACAAACCCAACATCTACTTTCATATTTTGCCTAGTATTTGGTCACTATAGCCCTCCTCTTACTCTGCATTGGCAGC